GGTAGGTAGTTAAGTAGGTAGGTAGGTAGGTATGTAGGTATGTATGTCACTTGGGCGTGCGCCTAGGCGATATGAAGGTACATTGGTGCTTTGCCTTGCCGCCTTACAAACTATGACTTTACCTATCAGTCTGAACATTTTCTCGGCAACATAAGTGGTTGGTTATGTGTGGGGATGAAAGCTTTTCCTCATGGGTTGGACTTACATTGGCCTTGCATTTCTTCCTTAGGGACTTGGTGCGTTATGACCTCTTGCACGTCGGTCATATATGGGAGGGAACATATCCAATTCTGTAGACGTCCCAAGGAAGCAGCCATGGCATGTTGGTCAAGAGATTCAACAATTCAATTCACAAATTCAACATCAATTGGCAAGAATATATCAACGAATACTAATTTACAAATTAATCCTAACAGTAGATATAATAACCACGACTCACCTCGATTAATCAAAGACGTATTACTAATTAATTGGTGTAGAATTCTTTTCGGCGAAGTCCCTTCTTTCGTATGGTTTGGGTCGACGACAACAAGAAGAAGCAAAGCAAAGAAGAAAGGTGCGTCTATGAAGAAACGCACAGGGAAGGGAATATATACTTATATATAATGGTGGTTGGGCTTTTGTTTTGGAACAAAACATTACTCCATTTAGATTTAGGATTTTGGGGAAAAGGAGTTTGGGTTTAGCTAATTTCCAAGGTAAATTAGGATATTTGGTAGTATAGTTCGTACATTATTTCAATGTTATTATATTATTAAATTCTTTTATTTATTTATCAAACTGTAACGTCTATTATGCACATAACTTTTTACATAAAATTCCATACTCGAAAACCAATATGTTGTTTGTCCCCTTTTCACAAGACCTACCGTCCTACCCAATGACACCAATTTGAATATAGTATTTTGAGTTTATGATATATTTATATTTTAATCTTTTACTCTTACTTTCTTTTTGCTTTTGGGGCGGTCAGGTTACTAAGTTTCGTACCTCAGATTCACGCACGGAATATAACGTTGAACTTGTCTCACTGAGACCTTCAACTCGAATATAAATTTGACCTTTAAAAGTTAACTTTGAAAATTCACTTATTTTTAGCACTGACGTTTCTGTTTTTTTATAATTCAAACCAAAATTAGAATTATGATTTATTAGAATTTCATTATAAAATTCTAGGGTATATTTCAGGGCGTGACACCTTGTCTACTGTGTTGGCCCAACAACTCACAACTGTAGATTCTAATCTTGTGCTTGCATGCACACTCATCTCTCTTCTACATATACTGATAGAACTCAAGAGTGGCATGGAGAATAAATGAAGGAAAGTCTTTATGAAATTATGAAATCGAGATCTAACTTCATAAATAATAGAGATGATTGAAAATCTAAACCAAAATATAGAGTAAGACTCTTAAACTCATACGGAGTATAACTAATTAAGCCAAGGAGAATCTCCAATGATAAATTACTCTGTAATCTTCGATAATCAACACACATGACTAGAGGTCTATTTATACACAAAAGACTCTAACATCTACTAGTAATAACTTACTCATTACCTCGGACTAAGTGGGAATAACTTACTCCAAACCTCCTGCTTACTAATTAGGTATAACTGACTCCAAACTTCCCATTATGTGGATTAAATAATTATTAAAGGATAAATAAATAGTCAACAATTAATTAAATTGTGCAATATATTAAATACTGTAAAATGACTTAATCAACCAACCTGGAATCTATCATTACTCCCTTCCTGGAAACATTGGAAAAAATTGAATGCCACTGATCTAGCTCGACTCCGATCTTTGTAAGAGCATGAAAAACTTGAGCAACCTTATTACTTTGATGCCTTGCAGTGTATCCGGTAGTTTTGGTAAGGGTAGCAGGCAAACAATATAAGAACCAGCTTTGAGCAAACTGTATTTATAATGGGGCTTGTACTGTTGAATAGCAGCTACTGCTATGGTAGCACACAAGGTTGTATAAGAGAATGTCGAACTCATTGTGGCAAATGTAGTTATGTCCTTTCTGCCATAAAGTATTGTGGATCGGTTGTTTGCTCTCATGTGATTCTTAAGTGAGGAGAAGAATGTATCGGGCTATTTGTTGACACTTTTTTCTCCAAGGGAGAAGATATCCTGTATGAAGGCTCTTTGTTACAGAAGAACAGCCTCGACTCGAATTGCCGTTGTCGATTGCCGTCCAAGAGAGATTCTATAGTGATATTTCTGGAGGGGCAATGTGAGGACAACACCGTTGTGTACTTGTGTTCACTATCGTGTGCCAACTTAGAGTTGCGATTTAAGTTCCCTTGTCATCACGTAGGAAATTACTTGTTGGACGAGAGTAATAGAAGCGGTTGGTTGCAAAGGTAATGTGTTTGGTCTTACGAACAAATGCAACCCTACTCTTCTATTTTTGAATTGTCTCTCTTACCCATAGATGGAGTGTCTAGATGCGATTCTTTTGTAGGGTGTGACATAATTAACAGCCGTATCTTAAACTTCTGCTGCTGCCCATTTGGAATCAATGTCATCAAGGTGAGTTAGAATGTAAAGTTATTGGTGTACTTGGTAAGGGGTGTAACAGTTGGATGTGAAAATGTATGGAGAGATGGGATGATCAGGGTTTGTTCGCAAAGAACCCACAAATTGTACGTCTTTGATGCCAAATGATAGAACTCAAGAGTGTCAGAGAGAATAAATGAAGGAAAGTCTTTATCAAATTATGAAATGAGGATATAACTTCATCATAAATACGGAGTAATAAAGATGAAGGAAAATCAAAATGAAAATATGATTAAGATTCTTAAAGCCATATAACTAATAAAGCCAAGGAGAATCTCCAATGATAAATTATGGTGTCATCTTTGATAATCAACAATACACATGACGAGTGATCTATTTGTACAAAAAAGATCCTAACTTCTACTAGTAATAACTTACTCATAACTTAATCAACCAGCATGGAACCTATCTTATACCCTCCCCAGTATCTAAGGCATGCTGATTCTACTGTCTCATTCGAATACATAGCTTTCTCTCTCTAAGCTCTTTATCCCTACCATGGAATTTATACTTCAACACTTTCCTAAAAAAATGTTTCAGGTGTGTCGATATTGCCAGCAGCAGCCGGAGAAATCAATATGTATTATTTGTCAAACATCCGAAAATCTCTGGATGTGTGTTATATGTGGTTTTGTTGGTTGTGGAAGGTAAGTAACAAAACCAAAAAGTGATTGATTTCTCTTCTGCCAGTCAAGAAATAGGTTTTAGTAAAAGATGTTTTTCCTGCAGATATAAAGATGAACATGCTAAAAGGCACTGGAAAGAAACACACCATTGCTATGCACTTGAATTGGAAACAAGACGTGTCTGGGACTATGCTGGAGACAACTATGTTCACCGATTAATTCTATCTAAGACTGATGGGAAATTGGTTGAGTTGAACCACCATTGTGTACACAGGGGTGAAGGTTGTTATAATTGTGAATGTGGCGTTGATCCTGCATTTAGTGAAGCTCTTCAAAATAGCAAAGTTGAAGCTGTATGTTTAGCTGTCCTCATGTTCCCTTTGATTTTCTTTTCTTTTCTATTCTTAGTATCTTCTATTTCCATCATCTCCGATGGAGCCAAAATTTCACCATTTTTTGGCTTTGGGGTGTGATGGAATAAATCAAAATGGATCTCTAAACTGTCTGCGCTTCTTTAATTAATGAAGTAGTAGTTAGTCAAGCAAAGCAACTTTCGACGTTGAGCCGGGGGTCTCTTTGGAAACAGCCTCTCTACTTTCAAGTAGGGGTAAGGTCTGCGTACACACACCCTCCCCAGACCCTACTCTTGTGGGATTTAACTGGGTTGTTGTTGTTGTTGTTCTATTCTTAGTATCTTCTATTTTGCTCTTATAGCTTGTTCAGAATATTGGTTTTCTCTAATCTCTAAAATTTTTTTTGCAGATCGTCAATGAGTATAATGAGCTCCTGACAACACAACTTGAGAACCAGAAAGTGGTATCTTTAATTTAGCACCAAATTGAGCTTATTTTTTACTCTCTCTGTCCGGTTTTAATGGTCAGCTTTCTAAAATAACACAAATGTAAAGAATGATGTTGAAATAACAAAAAAACTCTATGAATTTGCTTATCATTTATTGATGAAAACAATGCTAATATGATATTTGGGAGATATTTTAGATAATTTCCTATTATTTATTTACTAAAGCTGGAAAGTGGACAGTAAATTCTTGTCGCCCCAAAAAAGAAAAGTAGACAACTAAATCAGGACGGATGGAGTTCACACCTTTAATTAGCTCTGATTAACTTCAATGAATGCTTTGGATAAGGACAAGTATCACTTTCAATTGCTGTAGTAACAGCCTGCTTTTACCTTAGTACTTTGAGTCCTTACTACAAGAGGTTGAAGAAGAAAATGAAAGGGACACTTTAGAAGCTGTTGAGAAAGCTCTAAAACAGAATCCTAGGCTGATTAAGATGCAGACGCGGTTGGACAAATGCACCAAAGAGAAGAAATTTCAGGACGATGTGAGTTTCTAAATAGGTGTATTTGCTTCATAAGCCATACATTTTTTTCGTAATTAGCAGCTATCCTCATTTCATGGTGGGGAGTACTAATTGGTTTTTCATTCATTGACAGATCTATGAAAATCTTTTCAGAAACCAGACAATATGGGAAACCAAAATAGTTGAAATGGAGGAAAGGTAGTTATAGAAGTATTGTTTCACAACTTGCACCCAATGGCTACTTGATACTTCTGAACATTCTCTCAACTACCCTTCTGTTAGTTTCTCATTGTTTATGGATAGCATGTATGTTTGAGGACATTTTTTTTGGGAAGGGTGTATGTGTGTGTGATTTCCTTTTTCATTCCCATTAGGGCCTGTTTGGTTGGGAAGGAGTGGAGGGAAAGGAAGGGAGGGAATGGGAAGGGATGGGAGGGGTCCCCTTCACCTTGTTTGGTTGGAAGAGGGAAGGACAGCATTAATTTTATATTTATTTTTTATTTATAATGTTTATTTATATTATTCATTTATTTTATTATTAGTATTATTATTTTTATTATTCATATTACTATTATTATTAATGGTATTATTATTGCTACTTATATTATTATTATAGGGAACACAAGCTCCTGAAGCTGAAAGACCAGAAGATTAGTGATTTGGAGGAAGAGGTATACTATATGAATTGATATGGAGTACAATGTACCGATTATTTTTCTCATTTGGCATTCTTATGTTAACTAAAAACTGTACTCTGGTTCATAGCTTATGAATTTGATGGCATGCTTAGAATCAATGAATACAATGCCACAGCTGCCACTATCAGACTAAACTGGCAAGGGTGAGAGCTTACTTGTTGGATTCAATGCTCTGCTAAAAGGAGGCTACAAGATCATGAAAAAATCTCGTTGTGACTTTACATGGTGTTCGTGTATGCATGCAGATGTGCCAAAATTTGGATCACTTTCATGAGAGGCCATTCATGCCCCCTAGTGCCAATGACTACTTTAGCTTTTACTCATTCTGGTGCTGAAATGGCATATGAATATCAGGTCCAATGTGTTGCACCAATGGAACATAACATTAAAACAATGAGATTCTCTCCAAAACAAATGTCCAAAGGTATGACAGACATATTTTCTGGTCAACGGGCTTTTGATACTCTGTGATATGCAATCATCATGTGTGTATTGGTGACAGAATTTAGCATTGTTAGGATGACAATGCTTTCTGCACAAACTGTTCTACATAAACTGGCACACCACACTATTTTTTATTGTCATTGTCATTCGTCTTGTTTACGTAATACTCTTATTTGTTTGCTCACAGGATGGATGGATATTTGTGAGAATACATGTTTGTGTATGTGAATCATGTGATGTATAAGTTGGTGTAACATTGATCTAAAAATGGTAGAGCCCTTGATTTGAAGAGGTAAAAATGGCATAACCCTTCACTAATACTCTATCCAGTTTCAAAATAAATTTCACACTTTCATGGTTTCAAAATAAACTCCGCATTTTTTTCCTATTTAGGTCTAGGAATGAAATGTGGCTCACAATGTTTCTCTTCTATAATTTTATTTTAATCCTTTAATTTTTACTGTTCAGCAACTTTTAAAAATTTGAGAAATCAAACACCGAAATTATTTCAGGGTAATATGATTTTTTAAAGGGGAAGAGTTGTTAGCAGGTGTATTCAAATACTGGAGATGAAGTTTGCAATAAAGGGAACAATGAAAAATTATGTTTAGTTAACACCCTGGTTCCCTTGACATTGCTAAGCAATGTCATGGGATGACTGGGTGGCTGTACGATGTTTCGTTCGTAAAATTGATGGTCTTTATCCTTCCTACCCCCGGTTAAACCCCCACACTGCTCTGCCCCTCATCCCCTTCAATTGTATTCTCCAAGTTTAATTGACTTTGGAGTCAAAATTTTGACTCAATTAAACTGGGGAAACTGGGGGATGCAATTGAAGGGGGTGTGGCAATGGGTTCGGGGCGAGTTTACCGGGGGGATAGGAGTCGTAGGAACTATCAATTTTACGAACTGAACATTATACGGCCCTCGGGTCATCCCATGTCATATGAACCGCCCCCGTCCCCTAGTTACAATTCAAAACAAAGGGAGCACCATATATGTTGATTTGGATACACGTACTATCAAGGCGTGGAGAAGAGCTAAGTATTCGAATGTGGAGTTTTCAAGTCCATATAGTGATTGCATAAGATAGGCCTTTTCTCAATTTAGTGCTAGTAATAGGCGGATATGTTTTATATCGGCAAAAAGACAAAAGAACCCTTTCCAAAGTAGAAGGCAGTTCACTCCTAACGTGCATACAAAATGCAGTTGAGATATTTGCACATGAAGACAAAGAGTCCTATTAAAGCACAAAAAAAACTCACGTGTTTTATTTGAAGAAACTCATCAAGTTTGAGTACTATTTACAGCGGCGTAAGAGACGAGTTCTTGAATTAAAGATAGAAAAATGCTAGGGGTACACCATTTGGTGTACCCCATTTGTCCCCCACCCCCTCCATTACCACAAAAATGGGCAAGATATTTTAAAAAAATTAAATAAATAAAAATGGAGTAAAATTGAGTGGTGCAGAAAGGGGTGGGGGACAAATGGGGTACACTTTTGGTGTACCCCTAGCATTGCTCTTAAAGATATCATGTTCTTTTGAGTGTCGAGGTGTAGAGAATGTTGAATATTGAGACCTTTAGTGACAGATTTCCCCTAAAGTTGTCTTGAAATTGAGAGATATTGATTTGGAGTATGATATTTCTCTTTAAAATTTTGTTCATATAAGACTAAAATGTACTCGTATATAGTTTTTTAATAGGATCAAGTAAGTTTTATTATCTTTATGACATATTTTCTTATGATCTATCTTTAATATCGTTTCACAATTCTACTGCTTCTTCAACTTGTGTGATTGAGTTTCGGAGTGACCCATATATGGTGTTAAAAATCCATGACACCAACATGGCCTTCACAATTTACCATTCTTATACTTCCTCTTCGTCTTCTTCTAGCAGGGGGATGAATTTGTCAATGAATGAAAATCTTCTTTTTTCGCGAAGTGTTATTCACACTGCTCGTTCCCATTCTTCATACTTATCTCTATTTAATTTCATCTGAGTGATAATCAAGGTAGGGGTATCTGCGGATTACAGTTCATAAGGACTGACCTTCGTGAATTATTTGTCGCCAGTTTCTTCTTCTTTGCCGGTACCCTTGGAAAGGGGTTCTCGATTTTGTCGTCAGTCACCCTTGCTATCGAAGGTCGTAGGATGGCGTGTAGGTCCACACTCCTTCGTCGAACATAATTCTAGGATCTTTGTTCTGATACCATGTAGAATATTATGAGAGCAAATATTCAGTAAATTGGAATGGTTCTGTCAAATACGAAGAGCTTCTCCTCTATTTATAAGAAAAGAGAGAAAGAGTATAAGAGCTGTTCTTTAGGATTGAAAAAAAGAGCTGGATGTTGGAAGAAATTGGAAAAAACTGGAAGGAATTCGAAGAAACTAGAAGGAACGGGAAGAAACTCGAAGGACAAGAAGAAACTGGAAAAACTTCAAAAAAATTGGAAAACCTAAAAAAACTTTAAATTTTTTTTATTTTAGTGTATTTTTATATTATTCTGATTCTAATTCTTGTTATAAATTATTATTATTATCATTATATTATTATTACTATTATTATTATTATTATTATTATTATTATTATTATTATTATCATGATCATGATCATGATCATCATCATCATCATCATCATATATCTTAATGAATGCCTTTAAGATAAAAAAAAATATTTTTATTTTTTAAATAAAAAAACTACTTTTACAAAAAAATAATTATAATATAAAGTTAGCATAAATATCAAATGGTTAAATTTTAAAATTTTTTGTGGTTATGTTGCATCTCCACTTATTTATGCAGTATTTATTATAAATAATACATTTATAATTATACTTTATATATTATAAGATTTTGTTTTAAATATCAGACATGTCACATAATGTAATCAAACCTATTTTTCCTTTCATGATTGACACTTTATTTTCATTGTAAGTCATATTTTTGGAATAAAGACATAGAACTTTTTTTTTACATTTTTATGTTTTACTCCTATTTTAGTCTTGTTCTCTAAACTATTTTGACTTTCAATTTTTTTTAAAATAAAAATTAGAAAAATGAGAAAATTTTGAGTAATAAAGGAAAAGTGAGAAGTCTTATATAAAGTTAGATTAATAAAACATTTTATGTAACTATTTATCCATAATTTTTTAATATAATTTAAAATATTAATGTTTTCATGTTTTATCATGTAGATTAATATACAAAAAATTATCTTATTCATATTTAAAAATTGAAGAAAAAATAATGAGTGTGAATCTAAAACTAGTGAGATGAAAAAATTATTTATAAACTACAGTTATGAACATAACAATTGTAATAATAATAATATTGAATCTATGGATTGAAGCAAGCCTCACGAGGTTGGAATATTCGTTTCCATGAGACCATAACTGGTTATGGTTTTCAAAGAAATGAAGACGAATCTTGTGTATAGAAGAAGGTTAGTGGGAGCATCATAGTCTTTCTTGCTCTTTCTGTAGACGACATATTGTTAATGGGGAATGACGTTCCTACTCTATCATTTGTAAAGATTTGGTTGAGTAAGAACTTCTCCATGAAAGACTTAGGTGATGCAAGCTATGCTCTTGGAATAAGGATCTATAGGGATAGATTTAGAAAGCTGATTGGCTTGAGTCAAAGTACATACATTGCCAAGATTCTCAAACAATTTCACATGAATGAATCTAAGAGAGGGAACTTGCCAGTGATCCAAGGAATTAGTCTTTCCAAGACTCAAGGACCTTTCATAGAGGAAGAAGAGAAGCGTATGGAAAATGTTCCATACGCCTCTGCCATTGAATCAATCATGTACGCCATGATATGTACGAAACCTGACGTTGCTTATGCACTAAGTATCACAGGTAGATACCAATTCAATCCTGGCGACAGTCATTGGATGGCAGTGAAGACTATCATGAAGTACTTACAAAGAATTAAGGATGCCTTCTTAGTCTATGGCGAACAGGAAGAGCTCAGAATAACTGGTTACACTGATGCAAGCTTCCAAGCGGACAAAGATGATTATAAGTCACATGCAGTCTATGTTTATTGTCTAAACGGTGGCATCATAGGAGAGTCCAAAGGGCTAAAATTTGACCAAACAAAAATAAAAACAAGGTGGAACTTTGACTCTTGAATTGGATTATCACACATCATAACACACATGTTTTTATCACTTTAAATCATTGCTCTCTCTAGAAGAAACTATTCTTCTCTCTAGAAGAGGGAGTAGGCTTGAGAAGTTGGGGGGCGTTGCAGGTGGGGCCGCCTGCCCTAAGATTAGCTTCAAAGTGCAATTCTTTTTAGAAAACGAGTGCTATTGAAATATGTTAGAGATACAACAAAGATGTACCCTAAATGTATACCACTTGCCTCTATACCATTTATTTTATTTTCTTTTTATTTTTACATTTTTTTGAAATTTTCTTGCCTTTTTGTGGGGTGATGCAGAGGGTGGGGATGTTTGGAGTACACTTTTTGGGATACCCTATCATTTTCTATATTTCTTCGGACAGCGACGCAGCTGACAGGCTGCATCCTCAATCATGTTTACCTCACTGTCCGCCACCGCTGGGCTCCTCTCCGTCCTCCTCCTCCTCTTCATCGCCTCCGTCTCCGCCACCGACCACATCGTCGGCGCCAAAAAAGGCTGGAATCCCGGCGTCAACTACACACTCTGGGCTAACAACCACATCTTCTTCGTCAACGACTTCATCTGTACGTTCCAAATACTCCCTTAGAACACTGCGAATCAGATGCAGAAAAAAGAAAGCTTCACAAAAAAGGAAAAATAAATATAAATCTATACTCCTAGGAAGGGTTGTGTTGTTTAAGTATCTGTTTGACATTAGATTTATCATTGTCAGTGTGGCAAAAATCATACTTCTAACCAATATAATGTTCTTCCAAAATAGCATGTTGTTTAACCGGGCTAATTGGATTGCTTTTTATGTTTTCATTTTTAATTAGCAATATTTTGATCAAAATGTAGATTTGAAAATATGGATAGGATCATCAGTTTGTGAAAAGAAATTTACTTGATTAAAATCAAAATATTATTAGTATTTCAAATTAGGGCTCTTTATTGTTTTGTGGCCAAAATAGAACCAAGGTGTGGCACAAATCCAACTTCCCCTTTTCTCTCCCCACCAGCGTTTACAACTTGACATTTTTGGTTGCCATTTTACAATGATTTTTGGTGTTATGTTTTTACATTTTTTTGGCATCGTCAATTCTATGTCCTATTTTGATATAATGTCATTTAAGGTCTTGTTTTGGTAAATGTAGCATGTATTAATCTCATTTACATATTTCTCTCAATTCCTTGGTATATAAAACAATAGAGTAAATTTCCAAAACGGTCCTTTCTAATAAGGTGTTTTTCCAAATTAGTCCACAATAAGTAATAATTATCAATGTGATCCTTTGTAATTCAGATATGTTCCATAAATAGTCCTTTGTAATGTCGATTAAATATCAGTCAAATGCAAGATATTTTGTTATTTTTTATCATCGAGACTGAAAAGAATGTTCTCAAAATGCCGCTTTCTAATTAAGTAAATTTCCAAATTGATAATTTCTGAATAAGTATTTTCTCAAATATGAGTCCATGAGCCTACCCGATATGGGTCTGTTCCTCTAGGAGTCACCCACTTAAGTTGAAAAAACCATTTTCATAGTTTAGATGATGAAAAATATCAAAATACCCTCCATTTAACTGTCATTTAATAGACATTTTTGACAATAGACTGTTTAGAGAATACATCTCAATTAAAAATGACCACATTGGTAATTATTGTTTATAGAGGACTAATTTGGGAAAACACCTTATTAGATACGTGTTTTCCCAAATTACTATTTTATTGCCTCCATCCATTAGTTAAAACCTTAATTAGTTTGACTTTTAAATGTTTGAAAAAGGTGTTCGTGGTGAAAATTTTGTGATTAGGAATTTAGGATTTGTGTCTACGGTGTAATAGAGAAAAACTGTGTTAATCACAAAAAATTATTTGGGAAATTTATAATAGAAGTTTAAAGTTCATTTTTTGATGGATTGAGAAGGGAAGTGTAAAACTAAGTTTGTAAAAGGAAATGAAATGAAAAATGGTGAATCACATATTCATTTTCTTGAAAGGAAATGAAAAGTGTCATGTTTATTTTTGAACAAATAGAAAACTAGAGTGAATTTACTCTGTCAAAGGGAGTACTTTTAAATATAAAAAATTTAAAACTGTTAATTACTAATCAAATTTTTCAGTACAAGCTCTTGATCATTATTATCTGTTATTCGACAACGAGGCCTTTTAACAATACCATCTTGCAAAAGCTGTCCAAATTTTTTTTAAAAAAATGTCCAAATTAAAGATGAGCAAATAATCAGATTACCCTTTTGCTGAGGGAACTTGATCTTCATTTTGGCAGCGTTTAGGTACCAGAAGACGCAGTACAACGTGTTTGAAGTGAACCAGACCGGATACGACAACTGCACCACGGAAGGCGCCATTGGGAACTGGAGCAGTGGAAAAGACTTTATTCTCCTTGACAAGGCTAGGAGGTATTACTTCATATGTGGCAATGGTCAATGCTTTAACGGCATGAAGGTGTCGGTTCTTGTCCACCCTCTTGCCCTTGCCCCGCCGCCCCTCCACTCAAACCACTCCAACTCCAACAAGTCTAACGCCTCCCTCTCCCTGAAGAAGGGGCCTTCTCTTCCGGCAGCGTTTGTCGCTGGAGTTGTGATGATGGGGTTTTTGGGATCATTCATTGTGTAGGGTTTTGCTTTGTCATCGCTCCAGTTTTCAAACTAATCCAAATTATAATTACTCCCTCGTGTTTTTTATCATTTCCTGATTTAATATAGGTGGCTAAATTGTAAAAAAAAAGTGAAATGTGCTGTTTTATTTTTTGTTATTTAATGGTATTAAATTGGTTTTTTTTTCAACACTTGAACTTTTCAATATGACTGATAGATGTTACGGAATACTTTTTGAAGCATTGATATCTTGTGTAGTTGTCTCATTTTCTTGTTATGTGCCACACAGTTGATCCCTTTCATCATACGGAGTAGAATTTTGTTTTTCTCCAGAAAATGTTTATGCTGTAGAATGTCGATGTTGTTTTTATCAGAAAATTACTCTCGATATCACATTATCTGAAATATATTTCGGAGTAACCTCGATTTTCTGATATTTCGGAGTAACTTCGATTTTCTGATAAGAATTTTCAGGTTACACATTATTTGAAATATAGTATTGGGGTCCTTAAAATTAGTGGTAATGTAACTCCTTGGATACATTCCGTCTATATGACCGTAAGAATTAAAAGTTTTCGTACTTTGACAAATACTAAATTTTACCTTCATAATTATTATTTTATTAAATTTAAATAAAATTCTTTAATTTCTCAAAGTAAAAGAACTTTCAATCCTAACATTTAAATGGATAGAATGTACCCTCAAAGTATAATATCATAAACTTTAAGGACTCCGGAGTATATTTCTGATAATGTGAGACCTAGGAGTTCCTATTATAAAAATGAAGGTAACCTAGAGTATATTTCAGATAATTTGATTTGGGAATCATTACCAGAAAATTGAGGATATGATTTGGGAATCATTACCATAAAATTGAGGATACCTTGGATTAATTTTCTGTTGTTTTATCTTATTTTCAAATAAAGACCAATGAATTTATTGCACTGATATGCCTCCTACTTTCGATCTGATGTCTTAAAAATACAGATCTAAATAATAAAACTTACTTTGATGAGAAGATTTAGTTCTATTGCTACTCATTTCGATTAGTATCGAACTCCCTAGCTTACAATTTTCATTTTGTTAGTCAAATTTTTTTATTGGGAGTATCTTTGAATAAAAAGAATAATGTAGTTAGGAATGAATGAACCAAAAGAATTTGAGAGGAATTAAAAATAAAATTTCTAAATTTTATTGGGCACAAAAAAATTTAAATTGGGGAGGTGTTTGCAATAATAATAATTTTACATGGATGATTTAATTAAAGAATAATAGAGAGACAAAAAAAAATTCATTATTTCTACCAGGATAAAAAACATATTTAACTCTATTATTACTTTTTCCGTCTGGGAATGTTCTTCCTGTGTTGGTCTGACTTGTCACACTTATTTAGAAGTAAAAAAAAGTGTCAAACTTTTAAGAATACTCTTACTTTAAATTCTAAAGCTTCTTTTATTATTCAAGAAACAATAAAAATTAGATGGATTGTAAATTGGAAGGTATTATTGACATTACCCTTAAAAGGTAGACTAAAAAAAGAATGAGAAAAATATTTCTGAACGGATTGAAAAAGAAAGTGAGATGAGCATTCTCGAATGGAGGAAGTGTTAATTTAACTATCACATCTTATTCTACTCTTTTAAAAAGCAAAGATTAAATGGGAAAGCGACATCCCTACACATATCTTAATGCTCTTTTCCTTTGGATTGTAAAAACAAAGATGGATGTTGGAAGATAATAGAGGACACTAGAAGGGATTAGAAAAAAGTGAAAGAAGTTGGAAAAAAAAGTGTTAAAAACATATAATTAAATAATCCCTCAAATAAATATGTAAAAAACTAATTTTGGATTGTACATATACCATACATCCACATGAATACTCATTTTTGAGTAACTGCATGATAATTCATTTTCAATTAATAGAATACTCAATTTTTAATAACTAATTACTTATTTTTGTGTAAATTGAATTTTAGAAAAAATAAGTATCAGTTATTTAAATTAAAAATGAGAATTCAGTTGATCGACAATAAGTACTCACTTACTCGTAAATGAGTATTAGCTGTAGATGTACGGAAAACACCGTACAATCGGTTGTACGATATCTATTGAGAATTTTGGATAAAAAAGAATTCGTTCGTGTTTAGGTGATATGTTATAAATTTAGATATACGGAGTATGATATTATTCTATATGGATGATATGTAAATATTTTTTTAGATTGTTGTTGGAAAAAACTGAAAAAAATTAAAAAAATTGAAAAAAGTTTTAAAAACTGAAAGAAAATATTCGGAGTAAATTTTTCCTCTATTAAATGTGAAAATACTTTTTGTTTTTTTCATGCGGAGGGAGTGTATTTTAAAAAGAAGGATTGAAAACGACATAGCTGCCTAGCTGGTACTCTGGACTCTGGTAGGTAGGGGTGGACACGGTACGGTTCCGGTTCCGGAACCGCCGGTTCCAGTACCTCCACCCCATGTCAACGGAACCGTCACCGTGCCGGCCGGTACCGGTTCCGGTTACCGGACCGGCGGTTCCGGTACCGGACCGGCCGGTTTCAGCCCCCCTCCTATTTTTTTTTTTTTTGCTTTTTTAAAAATTTTTAAAGTATAAAATTGTAAATTTGCAATTGTTTAAGGAAAGAATGAAATAAAAAATCTAAAAATGTAGTTGTTCTTTAAATATTTTAAATGAATAATACACTAACTGAAGAACAACCACATTTAATATCCTGACGGTTCAAAAAAAGCGACGAGGTAAAGAACCGTTAAGAAACCCTCGAAGGAGCTTATATATCGCTCACCTAAAAAAACTAATTACATATCTACATTAACATAAAAAAATTGTAACTTATTCTTCAGAACTCGGGCTTCCATCTATTGTTGCATTCATGTAATGCTCTGATTCGAGTAGGTACGATGACTCTTGAGCTCGACGTCTTGCCAAGAGCCAATCTTGGTTGCAAACCAGTGTTTCAAGAGATTCAGCGCTAAGACAACTTCGAAAGTCGGTTAGAATGTTGCCGCTAGCACTGAATTCTCATTCAACTGCTACGGTTGATACCAGAACGGATAACACTTGTCTTGCTAGCATGCCGAGACATGGGAACATGTGTTCGTTCCGCTTCCACCATCCGAGCACATCAAAATCCATGTCGTCGTCGTCGTAATCACATGGCACACCCTGGTACATAGCAAGTTCGTTGTGCGAGCTTACTGTTGTACCACTTGAACTCGTCGAAGAATGAGCACGCTTCCCTTTCTTTGCAAGAAGACCACCGACTATTCCGGCAAAACCTTTTTTTGATTTCGGAGGCGGAGGTGGTGTTGCTTCTTCTTGTACAGTGTCGTATAACCCCTGATATTCCTCAAACAAATTCTCAAAAAAAGTTACAGCATTATCTCTTTCTTTTTTCCATTCTACTAAATAACTGTAGTAATAACTATTTTCATCTAAAAAACAACTGTAGTAATACTCAATTAAAATTTTATAATTTTCAATCTTAAAGCGTGGATCACAAATAATACCTATTTTATAAATATCAGGAATGTACAAATAATAAGCACACCATTTTTGTATCATAGGAGAGACATATGGGTACAAATCTGGATCAGCCTTACTTTCACGAAAACATGTTGC